TTCTGCAATAGCCTTTAGGGAACAGAAGTGCCAGGCGGGTCCTGACATTCAGTTTTCCCATATAACTACACTGGTTTTCATCAGGAGTCACTCAAACTCTTTACTGGTTGTTTCCACTTTTAATACTATCAGCACTGATCGGAGCACACTTAGATTGGGGTTGGTACTGCACACTCGCTGCTGCTTAGCTTGCTTCCCCTAACTTAACCCAAAAGCTGCAACTGAAGGGGTGAGGGAAGAGGCGATTCTCACACCATTGGTGACCACATCCCACAAGATCACATCATCATAACAATATAAGGGTTTTCAGTAGCAAGGCTATGATAGTAACAGCACAAGAAAGAGGGAAAAACACTGCCCCGGAGGCTTTGGAAAACACTGCCACAGCAGCTTGCGTGAAAGGCTACAGAGCCACGAGTGGAAGATAGCCCTCTGTGTTGATAAGGGCCTTATAAGATGCCTAAGAGACTGTGCAATAACACTCTTCTCAGCTGTAATCAAAATATATATTGTGCCAATATACGCAATCCCATTCAAAATCATAATTTGAATAAACTTGCATGGGCATCTTCCACATTAAATATTTGTACATATTTGCAAAACATTAAAATAATCAGAAGCTTAATCAGCAAAAGCCTCCACATTTGTTCACCTCCTACATAAATTCAAAGAGTTCTTATAGACCAACCAGTACTAACCAAGTAGCAGGGAAGAAGAAAAGAAAACCGTCACTGTCTTTCCCTGTGAATAACAAGTACACGCTTCCAAGACAACTGAGACCTATTTTGCTTACTATCCCATAATCTACCTACCATCATGTACAAGAGCATCTATCCTCCCCCTCTTCCTTGCCAAACCCTCTACTTATCTAGGTCCAGTTTAGGGCAATAAGATTGCCTTCTTTGTTAGCCCATGGAATAAAACTGGAACTGTATTTATGCTGATTTTTTTTTGGGTAGTTTTACAGATAGAAGAACAATATTTAGGGAAATATAATTTTTACTCGTATACTTCACATGTCAGCTTTTACTGACACAGAATAAATATTTGTCCATTAAGGCAACTGTAAAAAAACTCAGTAAATAGCGTACTCTGTGTAAAACAGTACTATAACTATGAACAACAAAAGCAGCAAGACATGAGATTATATTAATGAAAAATGAAAATTATTTAGACATAAATATTACCAAGTAAAGACATACACTGTATGAATTTATGAGATAAGTGACACCAATCCTTGCTATAGTAATTGTTTCAACTTAGATTTTGTATTAGCTTATCTCAGCCTTTTAAGACTTGCATGAAACAACACTGTCAGAAAGATACAATGAATATGAACCAAAGAGCTATTGTAATTTATGGCTGAGAATCTGGGAGATATTGAAAAGACAAGAAACACAAGAATAAACGACTAAGGGAAACGAGGCAGAGGGAAGTGTGATAAAGGATCTGCAAATACCATATTTAAAAAAAAAAAAGGGGGGGGGGCAAACACGGTCACAATGTGAAATAAGTTATTCTGTTTTCTGTCTAAATGTATTTCTTTTAAGTATTACAAAACACACTATGAAGTTATGGACAGAAAAATACTACTAAAAAAATTCAGATCCAAGTTACATGATCACTCTAAAAGATAAATACTGAAGGAGGACATGGAAAAAGGCAAGATGATGTTAGCCTCCTGTAGCATTAAGAATTTTCAAGACCTCATTTATTTTAACATCTTTCTTAGTACTGGAAAAGAAGTTTTGGAAAAAAGATTCATATGCCAAACTACAAAGGGTAGACAAGACACTATTTCTACACTAGTTCCAGCCCGCAGGTTAAGACAAACAGTACATAAAGAAACTTATACTGCCTAAGTTTTGTAATCAAATCCTAGATACATAGGCCTTGAAGGGGCCTATAATATATATTATTAATAATTAATAATATATAATATTGATAATTATTAATAATAATATATATTATTATTAGATATAATCACAGTATCTACTCAAGCTGCAGCGAGTTCAATTCAATAGAAATTGAAAGTGTAGTAACCTGGTGATCCAGTTTAAGAGTACAGCAAGCTATTAAGTGCCCATCTGGGAAAGGGGTGGTAAAGACTTGCCACTTAAACATAATGCCCATAGGAAGGATAGATGGAAGGTGTTGCCTGATTTTCCACATTCAGGTTAACCAAATAATAGTATGGCCTATAACATTTTCATGCTCTTAATATCACTTTAATTTTTGCATTGCATAATCAAACTGTCATTAACAACTGTCTCTATTAATGTAGCTTAAAGCATTTATTTTAGTATCACTTAAGGCTAATTTTGCAAACACTTGCTGTGGTCAAATAAAATGTTTAAATATTTAATCTGGTATTTGAAGTCAGTAGAGCTACTCAGAATCTTAATGGTAAGCACATGCTGAACTTGAGCATTAATCATAAGAAGAATTATTCACAACAAGTTGGCCCACTTCATTCCACTAGATTGTTCACAGAAACATGCCTTTTAAAAATACACATTTGAAGAATCAACTCTAAAAATATTTAGTTTACTTCCTGCCTGTGCTCATTTTGTAAATTTTATGTTGCCACAGTATATCACAGTATTGAGATAAAAAAAAAGAAAAGATTTCAAGGTCTTAAAGATTCACTGAGAAGTTGTCCTACAGCATGGGAAAAACACATATGAAATAATCTGTTCAGTAGATTAGAAGACAACTGTATTATTGTAAATGTACACAGCTGTAAATAAAAATTAATACTGAAAATATTAAAAAATTATGATTCACAAAGTTGAAAGATAATTAACCATCTTCAAGGGCCTATATAAACTTCATGTAACTTTGTACAGTAAATAAAATTAGAACAGTGGTTTATAATTTGAGAGGGACTCTCAGATGGTCCTCTTTTCCATACGAATTTTCAATGTAGAGGAGAAATACAGAATAAAGAGTAAATATTAACCCAATAGATGAAGAATGAAGACAGCTGGAGTTATATGATCCTCATTCAGCATATAACCTGTATTGGGTCATTTTTTGCACTTAATAGCTAGTCATAACTTAAGCGTACTGTTCAAATGTACACTTAAAAGGCAGCTCTGAAATGACCAACAACCAAAACTACACTTTTCTGGGCAATATACCTGAACTCCAACACAGGAGAATCTCACATCATGACAAAATGATAATTATTTCAGAAATATACCTCTTTCTACTTTGATCTTGTCAAGGATTTCATTTTTGTGTGCTAAATCAGATTCGATAGCAGCCTCTAGTTCAGCAATTTGCAGTTTCAGTTGCTGTTCCTTTAATATCCATTGCTGTTCATGGGTCATATTGAAGACACTGCAATAAAACATGTGGCATGTGAAAAACTTTTAGAAATCAGCTTCACCAGAAAATAATAAAGAAAAAAGCTTTTAGTGGCACAGAGACCACTGTCATCATGTCTTAGGAATTAAGTAAACATATGCTGGTCTGCTGCTGTTGAAACCAAGGCGCCTTTCTCAGGCTGCGGTTAAAAAACATGAAAGAGTTTGTGGGATGAGCAAAGGAACTGGCCTTAATTTAGAGCTCCAAAGTCAGAAAAGTTGGCAGCATGCAACATTTGTGGGACTAGAAAAGGAATTCAGATGCATATCCCAGAGTAATCCACAACTCCAAACCTCAGCAACTGACAACTGACAAAACCATTCTTTCCGCATACAAAACCTCTTAATGTAGAGAACTGGGATCACCCACCTGATTCCTTTTAGATCTGTGAAACATGCAGAGCCTAGAGTCAGTTGCCCTTTCAAAGAAACGTTGACCACAAAGTGACAACAATTTTCTCATATTGTAAAACAACAATTCTGATACTGATTAAGAAGCACATATAAAGTAATCTTTCTCATACTTTAAGAAATAAAAAACAGAGGTGGGCAAAGAAATTAGAATAACTATTTTGCCTGTAACACACGATTTACTTGTAAACTACCAATCTATGTGCAATAAGGATTGCATGGACACAGAATCAGAACTGCTGAAACCACAACAAAATGTGTAACTCAGATTGAAACAAAATTAAGTACATTATATAATTTACAGTATAATTCCCAGTAGGTAAAAGACAAAGCAATGCAATGTGCTTTCATATAATTTAGACAGTGAATACTATGGTCTTCATATTATTATTATTCTTCAGTACTTGCATTCTTATTGACTGGAAAAATGTCCTTCATCTTAACCACTCATAAATCAGTTTATTCACTTTTGTATTCTGTGAAAAAGAAATTCTAGTTTTTTTTTTTTTTAAACAAAAGAGTCTGTTCCTCAAGTCTTCACTTTGGTGAAGCTCACCAGTTTAAAAAAAAATATTTTTTAAAATGTATTAAAAAATCTTCTGATATCTATCTATTTATCAATCTATCTCTCCCAGAGATCTATGTAACAAAAGCCTCCACCAAAAAAAACATAGAGGAGAAGAAAGAAATGTCACAGCAGGGACAGCCCACATAGCTTCGAAGACTGTATGTGCTGACGGAAAGAGAACTGCCTGTTTTGATGGCTATGACTACATAAAGTGGTTCTGAGTACATATAAGTGTATTTATATCTAATATATTTGAAGAATGAACTTAAGATTAAAGAAAAAAATAGCATGAATTGTAGACTCTAAAGTACATGGCAGAAGTTTACATTCTTGATTTGTGATCTTCATAAAAACAGTTGCATCTCTCTGTATTTTGTCTTTTTCTCATATTATATCTATCTCATCTATTTATACAGTTCTCTAGGCGTATACCATCTTATAGTGTGATAGAGTGTCTTTCGTAGCATGCATGAACTTAAGTGATGCCTCTAAGTCCTGCAGTAATATATACGTCACTCTGCTATAATTTTGAAGATAATATGCAGTGAATATAATGCACGGAACCCACAATCATTTCCGTAATACTGCATAGGTAGAGAAGAGACACAGTGTGTTCTATAATTGCTTAGATTTACCCAAAGTTTGATTGGCTCCCATAAGGAAAGAATCAATCTTAGCAAGAGAAGATAATCAAATACCCTTAGTTTTCACACTTCTGAAAATGTTTTCAAGTTTTAATGACCATGATATTTAGTTATATGTGCATTCGTTACCTTTAGGTACAATTACTTCACATAAAGAAGTAGCTACACATTATTTCACTTTTTCAAAAGACTATGCTGGCAGAAAAATCATTAACAGTTACTATGATAGTAATTTACAATTTAGATGTTTAAATGAAGAACAATTTAGAAGACAGGTTTCCTCCAAGCCCATATAATGCGAATGTTATGTCAGTTTGAATTGAGTCCACTTCTGTTGCTTTCTTCCTTTGAATTTTAAGATTACTTTTACTTGAATTCATGAGAATTTCTTTCACGTTTACTGTATTTCACTGCAGTTGGAGCCATCTGGGTAACTATAAATGGTCAACCGCATCTGGCACCGTTTCCTTTGGAGGGAGTTTAAGCATTGCTAGATTTGCATTACAAGGTCATATGAAAACAATTCCTCCAAACCTTTTATCTAAACGAATTGTTTTCTTGGATACTGACTAAATAATAAGAGTCAACTGACAAATCCATACTTGTTCTTTGTAAACTTTTCAGATCCAGTTCTGCAGCCTTGGCTTTGGCAAAATTCCCATCAACTTCAAATGAATTTCCAAAAAAATAACATTAGCAAAGAATGGGTTTACACCTCTTTTCCTCCATTAAAAAAAGAAGGAAATATTTATTAATTATCTGGCACCTGTGGACACTGGCATATCCACTGCTAGCAACAAGTAAGCAGTAGTGAAGTTGCATTGTTCAAATGGGCAACAGAAGAAGTTAGCCATTAAACAGTAGTTATAATGAAATGATCCATTTCTCTTTCTAATTTCTTGTTACCTATATAGTAACATGGAATGATGAAACATGAATCAAAGTTTAACTGGGAGTATATGAAAAGACAGTTCATTTTAGGGAAAAGAAAAGCCATATTGTAGATTACTGGGCCATGAGAGAACCATATTTAAATTTATCTAGTTAAACATCTTTTTAAGGTATCCCACTATGACTTAAATAGAACAGAAAATGTCAAGCCAAGATTGTAAGTTTATTTGTTAGTTAAGAGTTATTTCTCTGCATAATGATAGAGCAGGAAAAAAAAAGTCATAATCAGAAATATTTATAACATGATCAGACTTTGGAGGAATCTACAATGAACTTAAGCGAGAGACAACTGACCAACTGCCCCTATACAAAACTCTAAATATTGTAATTATACAACTGTTACATCTCTTATGTAAAAAATCTGTTTTAAGCTATTTGTACTCACTGTTTTTTTACTACTATGAGTTTTAATTTCACCATAGAAAGTACAAAAAGTATAATAAATATTGTACGAATACCATAAACAACATCTGATATCACTCACATTGTGTTTACTCATTGGTATTTTTTTTGACAGACATCTCACTGACAGACCAAATAAACTTTAAGAGGATAAATAATTTTGATATGAGAGAAGACTTCAATCATTTTACCTACTTTCTGAGGCAATTATTAGCTCCAGGAAATTTCTCTTATTTTCTAACCCTCTTCAGTGTAAAAGACCACATGGTTTCACAATAAAGGAAAAGTTCATTTAAAGGTCATTTTTTCCTTTAATATGCTTGTGTCAATTGATTATAATTACTTCTTTTCTGTACCAGAGAATTTCTGAATCATATCTGGCAAGGTATTTTCATTTTCATTGTAAGCACTGCTGATAGAATTTATACAACTTATTATGTATAGGAACCTTTGTAAAAACTTACATAAGCCTATACAAAAAACTTCAAACAGAACCAGTACAAGTGAAATGGTAGCTATTACCAAAACAAACAAACCATCCCCCAAAAATAAACATTGGAGAAGCTGTCAAATATCAGACTTTATATAGGTCCACTGAGAAGTGCTGGAAGAACTTGTACAAAAAGATCAAACACCACTTTTCCCCCCAAAAAATAAACTCAAAGGAATATACGTCTACCTAGATGTATTCTTCTTTCAACAATAACCCTAAAAAAAAATTATTAGAAATTCAAATAAGAACTTTTTGCATTGATGTTCAAAATAAAGTGACTTCTACTTATTTTTTAATTAGATTTTTTAAAAGAAGTAATCTACTATTTCAAGAGTATTAGAACAAGCATGGAAGTTGCTCTATTTCAACAGAACAGATGAAATACAGAGAGAACACCATAAAAGATTCCATATATACTTACTGATATGATGAACTGTAGCATGAATATATTTACATGTGTGCACAAACACACAATACGCACATGCACATTCAAGCACACAGTATATGAAGACCTATTAAACAGGACAGGGATCAAGTTTTTTATATACAGAAACCATAACTTACCTGTTATACAGCTTATCATAGTTTTCTCTCAAGAGTTCCTTCTCTTTTTCTAGATCATTTATTCTTTCCTGTAACTAAAATGAAGGAGGAAGTTTCAAGCAATGCACAGCACAAAAGGAAATTACAGTGAATATGTAAAGACAATTAGTTAATAATTTGTAGGCATTGTCAGGCTTTTATTTGTTCTTTTTATACAACAGTCTCTTAGAAGCTTCAAAATAACACTTTTTTTTCCACCACATGGATTTACATTTGGCCCAGGCAGTCTTTTTCATGTTGTTTATATGAAGCTAAGACTAAAATGTCATAGCTGAACAACAGTATCTAATCACATTCTGCCTTATGGGAAAAAAAAAAATCTATAGCATTAAATACTTTTATTTCTGTTTTGGTGAGTATTAATATTAGCTAGTTAATGGCTCCTGTAAATATTTTTTTATTGACCTTATAGAAAGAACAAGTCCTTGCTTTCAAAATACTCACTAAAGCAGGATACGGTTTTAAAGATACGAGATGCTTTAACCCAGAAGATATACCCTACATGCATTACAATAGTTTAAAGGTTTGGAGGACATATCTATGAGGTAATCTTTGTAACCTTGGTTCATGTAAAATACATGCAAAACAGGTAAACCAGGTGGTAAGACTGAATTTAATTTGCTACAAAATGAAAGAAAAAACATGTAAGTTTGTAGACTCTTACTCCTCATATATTGATGAGAATGAGAAATAAAACATTTGATTTTTAGCCCTATATCTGGGTGACTATTAGTGATGCTACTTGTCTCTGAGAAGCCACTAGACAAAGAAATAGAAGTGACTGATTTGAACTGCTGAGTAAGATGTAATACTACACTGTAACTGTAATTAAATCAGGTTGAAATAATACTAAAAAACTAGCAACATGTGATCAGTAAATCAAGTATTATGATTTTTTTCTGGTTAACAAACCACTTGTGTAGTAACAGAATTGACAGGAAATCCTATGCTTTAGCCTCGAATACTGTCCAAATGCTGGTGCAGCGATTATGTGTCATGGGGACCAGGTACGGTTCACGATTCTATGAAATGCAAGCAGCAGCCACAGGATTTTCTTTTTAAGGGGATAAAAGTATATATATTACCAGGTTAGTCTTCTAAATGTGTCTGAAAGGTCTATTCACATCTCCACAATTAAAAGGTATCCCATCATTAACTTTTCTCTTATCTATGTGTACCATCTAAAGCAGATTCTAGCTCTCTTGAACACAATCTCACCTCCTCTGTCCTTCGGTTTGAAATAGTCACTGATTGCAATTCTTTTTCAAGATGGAGGCACTTTAACCGCTCCTCTTTAAGCTGTAGATTCAGTTCATCACCTTTTGCTATTAAAGCATCATGGCTCGTCTTCAAGTTCCTTTGGTTCTATGAAAAGGAAGGCAGGCAAATCCAGAAAAAAAACCCCAAACCAAACAACACACACTTAGTAGAATGTTACAGCACTCTGCATATTCAGCCAGTGGTCTCTCATGGCAGAATTTAATATATATTCTCAATGTGGTCAACAGGAGACACTCTTGAACTAAGTAACTGAAAGCAACTTTCATTACACATGGCTGGGAGAAGGTGGCATTCTTGTCGCTCTCATGAACGTTAAACCCTCAGTTCAGTCATGATGAAAACGACCAAGAAATACATCTGTTAAGCAATTAAAAGATTTTGCTGCGGTTACAGTGGTTAGACATGCTGACCAAAAACACTGCAGTAGCAAGCAAAAATGAATGTTGACCACAGTTATGTTAATCACAGAACTTGCCACAGCTCTGTTAACCCTTAATTGTAGATATATAATTGTTTCATAATCCTAATGCACTCAGTTCTATTTCCCTGCTAACAGTAATTTAACGAGGGACTTATGATTTCTTTTACATTTTAATTTACTTCAATGGATTATGTTAAGGCACATTTAACCAATTTTAATATTAAATGGAGGATGCTGATAGAACCTCGATTTCCAGAATATTAGTTAATATTATACTCCCTACATTCCACAATGCTTTAATAAAGCCTCATTCATTAAGAATTTCAATGTAAATCACAAAGTATGACTTGAAACAAAACAGCCCAAAAGCCAATCTCCTGTTTAATAAAATGATTATATGAAAATTTACGTCAAATATATGTATGAGTATAGATAATGTTTAATGATTGTAGGCAGAAAAAAGTTAGCTTCATGTTTTCCGTATAAAATTCCCACAAAGTAGTTAAATGGAGAAGCTGAATGTGAATCCTGTACAAATTGTTTAGGTTCACGTGCAGTCTGAATATCCTAGAAACAAACAAAAACCCCATAGAAAACCCAATCACCAACCTGATCTTCAGCCTTTCATATCTCATTTCTCCGTAAGAAAAATATCATGGAGAATAAATAATATTAGCAGTCAGCCTTATTTCAGAGAGATAATGAAGTATATTACTCATGAATTTTAACAGTCTTTCCTCAGTGCTCCTCTTGCTGTCCCATATCTGTGAACTCTATTTCAATAACTTCAAAAAATGACACCTTAAAAATAATTCTTTTACACTCTTAATTTCTCTCCAAATTTCTTTCCTTTCTCCTCAAAATCAGAATCCTTACAGTCTCTAACCCTTCCAACTGTCCAAGTGAACTCATATTTTCTTCCCCATCTCTCAGCTTCAATTTTTTCCTGAAGTTCTTTTCCATTTCAATAACTTGTGTCACTTCAACCCACTATATATGAAGAAAAAAACCCCCAAAACCCCACCTTGGCAAAGCTGCCTTTCATAGACCATTTCACCCTTATCTCTTTCCTTAATTTCCAAAACAGTTGAAAACAAATTCAACAATCATATTTATTCTACTCAACCATCTCATTAAAAGCACTAAAAATATCCTCCTGCAAAATCTCCTTGCTTCAACTTCATTCTAATCCTTTTGTGTCTCCGCTGCTGTCCTGACCATTTTAGATTAACTTTATTCATTAACATTAAGGGGACCATGACTTCACCCTTTTTTTTTTTTGCCCCCCCAAAATGCATTTTTACCTGGATATTCTTCTATATCTGACTGTTCTGTCAGCACTTTTTTTTTTCCATTATGCCCAAACTGTTTTCTATCCTGCTCTCCCTGGAGTATCCCAAGACTCGGGTCATGGCAACAATTGGGATGATGATTTTAGTTTACTATTTCTAGTCCGGAATTTTCTTTCTTTGGAAACATGCCTTGATATTGTTGTCCATTAGAAATAACTCATTTAAAGAAAATGGATATATACGTCCTAGAAATATTGCACAAATGAACATAAACTGCTCTCAATTACAGTTGTGAAATTGTTGTACTGGTTGTTTGAGAGAAGAATTAACTCTCTATAGTCTTTTAAATTGTAGACATACAGGTTAGCGTATTTCATATTACAAATCATGAAAACCTGAATGTTCTGTCTGTAATTAAAGCAAATAAATATACCAATGGGATCAAAAACATAATTCAAACAGCTTCAGGGTCCTTTGTTCTTCTAAGCAGATTGCACAATTCCTTCATTCAACTGGCTACAAAAAAACCTGTCCTGTAAATGTTTGGTAGCAAACTCAACTTCAGTGATGGAGCAGCATTATAGGCTCTTATCATTCTGGGGTTTCACGTTTTGGGCTGACTCAAGTTCAAAGATGAACATGGAGGAATATACCTGGACAAGCTGGAGAAGTGGGCCCCTGTGAACCTCATGAGGTTTAACAAGGCCAAGTGCAAGGTCCTGCACCTGGGTCGGGGCAACCCCCGGTATCAATACAGGCTGGGGGATGAAAGGATTGAGAGCAGCCCTGCCGAGAAGGACTTGGGGGTACTGGTGGATGAAAAGCTGGACATGAGCCAGCAATGTGCGCTCGCAGCCCAGAAGGCCAATCGTATCCTGGGCTGCATCAGAAGAAGCGTGGCCAGCAGGGCGAGGGAGGGGATTCTGCCCCTCTGCTCTGCTCTGGTGAGACCCCACCTGCAGTACTGCGTCCAGCTCTGGAGCCCTCAGCACAAGACAGACATGGACCTGTTGGAGCGGGTCCAGAAGAGGGCCACGAAAATGATCAGGGGGATGGAACGCCTCTCCTATGAGGAAAGGCTGAGAGAGTTGGGGTTGTTCAGCCCGGAGAGGAGGAGGCTTCGGGGACACCTTATTGCAGCCTTTCAATACTTAAGGGGGCTTATAAGAAAGATGGGGACAAACATATTAGCAGGGCCTGTTGCGACAGGACAAGGGGGAATGGCTTTAAACTAAAGGGGGGTAGATTTAGACTAGATAGAAGGAAGAAATGTTTTACGCTGAGGGTGGTGAAGCACTGGCACAGGTTGCCCCGAGAGGTGGTGGATGCCCCATCCCTGGAAACATACAGGGGGGTTGGACTAGGTGACCTTTAGAGGTCCCTTCCAACCCAAACTATTCTATGATTCTACTCTATGATTCTATATGGGTTTCAACTGGTAGAAGCTGAAAGTAAATGATAATGAACTCAAGAGACATAAAAATCATCAAGACAAACATAAAAAAATACTAAAAACTGCTCTGTTGATAAGTACTTTACATGCCATCTAAACTAGAAATTTTGAGTTTTACAGTTGTTCACATTTAGTAGACATGTTTCAAACATTCAAATGATTGGAAATGGAAAAACCATTGTATCCTTTATCTTGTAAAAAAAAAAAAAAAAGTGACAGAAAACACACACATCCTTTTCAAAAATGCAGCTTTCACTCTGAATATTAGAAACAATGTCTTCAAATACCAATTTGAATACTAGGCATGTGTTTCTATTCAGCTGCTGCCAAGATAGAAGCATAAGTACTTGACGTTTGCTGTATATTACCAAAAAGTCGCATATGATTTAAAATGGAACAGTTTACTTATTGCTTTCTATTTAAGAACACAGAAAGCCATGTGAAACCTCTCCCCTCTGGAATTTACATTCTACATAGCTCACCCTGTGAAAAATTAGATTTGAGCTACTAACAGAAGAGCTGCTTTAGCAGAGAAGATATAGGTATTACACTGAGGTGGGGGGGAGGGAAGCAAAGCAAAGCAAAATGTAGAAGCAGAAAAACACAGGAAAAAAGGAACGGAACAAAAATCTAATGGCACAAATGTTATTGAGCATACTAAAATAATAAGAAGCAGGCAGTACTGAGAGTTCACAAGGATATCTGGTGGTTCCACCTCTTCAGGCTAGGATACTTTATAAAACTCTATTGCATGTAGGATTCCTACTCACAGGAACTCTCCCGTTTCTAAGCTATTATCATACTACCACTGTCTGTATACACATGCGGTTCTCTAAATACCTATGGGAAGAAGCAGAAAAATGCTGTATGACTAAAATGTATATGGAATCTACCATGCAGCTGCATGTTCTGGTGATATTTTCATGAAACTGCTCTTTTTATAAAGAAAATCTATTACTTACAGTAGCCCTCTACAATAATTTCCATTTAGGAAATTAGGAACACAAGTGAAGTCCTAACATCAGAACTCTACACAGCCAAACCTCCCCCACTTTATCAAAGACTGATAAAAGTGAGGGGGGTCTGGTGCCCCTTCTTTAGTAAATCAGTACATTTAAGTCAAAGCTGTCTTTTTAAATGATCAGGAATCTCTTCAAATAGCCAGACAACTCAGTTCATTCTCCACAATCTGCCTGCAATGGCTCTGCAGATAAAAATCTCCTAGACCCTTCTGGAAAAAAAAAAAAATTAAGACTAAAAAAGCCTACACATTTGGAGTAGCTTGGGTGCAATGTATTATGTAGTTCATTTTCACGTACTCAGCATTGACTCAGAATCTAGAACTGTGTATATTTATTTTCCATTTACGCATGCTTATGTGCCAAGTGTAAAGGAATGTTACTGACCAAATTGTAATTACCTCTTGAAGCTGGAGAAATTTTCCTTCCATCGCTGAAAGAGCATTGCTTTTCTCAACCAGCTGTTTACGGACCTTGATCATTTCCACATTGTCCCGAATGTTTAGCCTTCAAAATTGTATTAAAAAGAAATGCATCATGAGCTTAAAGGTACAAAATGAATTGTCGTCTTATTTTTGTCTTGAAAAGTTGAAATTCTTTGCAAATCAGCTTTCTACAACACATTTGGGAGAAGATTTAGTGTGTAATACCTGAATGAATTTCTTCTTCTATAATCCACATTACAGAATTTAGGTAAATAAACATTCTGCCACATGATGACGTAGCAGCTTCAATCAATACATATACATCTTTGTTTATTGTATCAAACTGTATATGACAGGAAGAGAAAACAATCCTATACCTAAAGAGATTATTTGTTTTCCATTCACTTCTTTTCCAGCCTCCAAAGTATTTGGTGCCAGTAGGTTACCATTTTATGGAGTTTCCTCTTAGAGTTTAAACCTATCAAATACTGCTAAGAAAAAGTGACTTAGCAATTTATACTATAACACCTTAGGGCTGGCATTCAAACAAGCTGCAGGTGTGTCTTAACTACATGAAAATCACTTAATATCCATATAGATGTTCTATATTGTTACAATTCTAAGATTAGCTTGAGAATGTACAGTTTAATAGAAAGGATGTTTAAAATAATTCAAAATTTAAATAAATATTTATTTCTGATATTTTCCCTTACTTCAAACAGTGAAACTAAACCCCATTACTTTCACAGCTTCTTCAAGTACAGGAAGAGAAACCAATTCTGATTTGTATGAATATAAAATATGATAAAAATCAGAATAAATCTTTAGCATTTGAAAAGGTAATTTCTCTTCCAATATTTATCTATTTTAGACATATTGGAGGAATTGTCACAATGCCATGCTGGAGCAAGAAAATGGACTACAAAGCTTACACATCTGTAAACCAGCTGAGTACGTGAAATACTTTCCTTTTATTCTGTAAAATATCAAAGCCTATTGTGTTTTGGCATTGCCCAGTTAATTGTCAGAATACACAGAAGATAAACACACTCATAAACCTGAGATCTTCTGCAAGAAACAGCCCTAATGCAATGCTAAAACTATCATGTGTCTAAAACGTGTTATCTGCATAAATTAAAGTTGGGGTGAGTATAGACAGCAGCACTGTCTCATGCTAGCTATTTAAAAGCTAATGTAGTGGCACGTTTTTATTAATCTTGTTCCACACATCAAACAAAAGGCTCTGATGCCTTCAAAGGCTTTTTCTTTTTCTTTTTTTTTCCCCCTTCTTTTTTAAGCAGGGGGCTTTTTTTTTTTTAAGCGGGGGGCTTTTTTTTTTTTTTTTTTTTTTTCTTAAGTAGAAAAAAAAGCAGATGAAAGGGAAAT